GGGGCGATGACGGCTGGGGGGCTGACAGCAGGGCCGCGAGCTCGCAGCTGGTGCGAGTCCAAGCGATCCAAGCTGCGATGGCGGCCTTTGCCGCCATTGGTGAAGATGGGTCTGTGGCACCTTGGTTCGCGGCCACTTTCCCCCTTGACGTTTCTTTGGGTTTGTAGAGCCTAGCAGCTAGGGGCTGAGTTTGTGACAATTCCCACCGAAGGTTTTTGTTTAAGACATGAAACGCAAAACGCCAAGGTTTCATGGGGCGACGCATCCTGCGGCGGTGACAGCTCAATGGTACAAGGCCAACTGCGTCAGGTGGCGCAAGTTCAGAGCGCAGATCGGTCCTTCGCCGCGCTGCGGCAAGACGGGACAGTGGTTTGCTGGGGGGATCCGTCAGGCAGGGTTGAGGGAACCCCAGGTCTGTTTTCTAATCAGCAGCTTAGGCCAGCCCCTGCTTTAAAGGGTGCTGAAATGTCTAATTGTTAGAAAACTCCGTTAGGTGTTCCTTCTAAGCAAACCAGGCTGTGCTGGTTGAACGTCAGTTATGCCCCGTCCGGAAGGCGGCGGTGATTGCCGCGCGGTCCATGATCAACTGAAAGACGTTTGGGCGGTCCAAGCCTCGACAGAAGCCTTCGCTGCGCTCCGGGCAGACGGCACTGTGGTTTCGTGGGGCCACCCGGACTATGGTGGCAGAGGTGGCGAGGAAGCAAAGCAGGTGAAGCTCGGGTGCAAGGCGAGCTTTTCGTCATTTGAACGGCTGGGGTTTGTCTCCAACTGTGCGCAGTCCGGCGAATCCCTTTAGTTTCTCTCGGGGCATGTGAAAGCCGTTATAGCAGACAAAAACTGTAATGTAGATGATGCAATGTTACTATACAATCCTGAACTCAAAAATAGAGCACCCATCCATTGTTGCCTTCTCGTTTGGGTTTTCCAACCCCCACCCCCCCCGTTTTTGTTACCGGACGTGTCACTGGCCGATTTTTCCGGGTTACGGCCCAAGGAGATGCATCCAAGCCACCGCCGGAGCCTTCGCCGCCCTCTCCATGGACGGCACTGTGACCACCTGGGGCGACGCGGCGGCCGGCGGCGAAAGCCGCGGAGTCCGAGACCAGCTGAAGGACGTCCAGGCCATCCAGGCGCGCCAAAACCTGCACTCCCCGAAGGACCATAGGTGTCCTTTTTGGTGGATTTGGTTGAAGAATAGAGGGTGATTCCTGGTTGACCTGGTGGTTCAGCCAACAACCAGGGCCATCTATTTTCCCAAAAAGGACACCCGTGCAAAGGACGCCCTACCATTGTTCAAGATGTGAGGTCACCTAAGGTGTTCTCCATGGGAGAGGGTAGGGAGCGGGCAGCAAAGAATTAGGCTTTGGGGAGATTTTGAAGCTTCGCGGATTTGGGAGATATGTCATGCCCTGACTGAAAAGGAGGTATTTTTCGTGAAAGGGAGAGGGTGGGAGGGAGAATAGTCTTCTGCTCAGCCGCTATGGAATGGGTTTTCCTGTGGTGGGGTTACATTGAACGGGAGGAGGTGTCAATGTGTTTAACACTCAGACACGGTGTTAAAAACCAGCATCCCTGGTCCTTTGATTTCATGCTTGAGGCTTTATCCTTGATTTAGGATGCTTGCCAGCATCGCAGTCCCTCTGTTGATGTTACTTGAGAGTTGGTTCTTTGATTTCAGTATTGTGCAGTAACATTCCATCATCTATATGTCGTGGCAGCATATGGGCTTTGATGTCCTAAGGTATGACACGTGGGCCCAGGATACATGAACCTTGCGGATTAGTCAATAATTGAAGGGGTGCAACCGCTCCTTTCCTCTTAACTGGGACGCGGCCCTAATCCAAATCACCAGAAATCAAAAGAGGGGCTGCTGAATCAACCGGATTCGGGTTCTCCAAGTCGCATCCTTCACTTGGCGCAGCACGCCTGTTGATCCAGGTCGCCATTTCTTCCCCAGAAATAGTTCCCCTTTTTACTTTTTGCTTTTTTGGGGTTCCCTTTGTTTTCCACCAACCAGGCAACAATCATATTATTTTTGCTTTTCTGGCGTCAACGAATTCCAGCCGAGATTTGTTGCCTTGCGGAGGCCTCCTACAGCGCCTTCGCGGCGTTGCGCGGGGATGGCGCAGTGGTGACCTGGGGCAGTCAGCTCTTCGGAGGGGACGCCAGCTCCGTGCAGGACCAGCACCCTGGATGAAGGGGCTGCGCCCGAAAACAAAACGGGTACGGGTCAAAATTAAACCGTCAGGATATGGACCGCAGGTTTTGGTCTTGTTTTCCATTTACCAGGGTTCCCTTCTGCCCTAAGGCTCTTTGGTATGTGCATTGGAAGGGTCGGGATGTGCATTGAAAGGGTCCGGCCTAAATACCCTGCTGACGACGTTCCGGGGCTCTGGCAGTTCACAGTTTGACGCCCCGAGGGCCCAGACCCGTTTTGAGCGCACGCGACAAGGTCTGAAACCCAACTGTCCACTGGCCGCAACAACACCCCTGCGCAGAACAAAATTCCGTTTTTCAGATAATTGTAGAAAAGGCCAGGCGCTGTGGGTGAAGTCACTTGTTTGGTGTTTCGCAGCTTCTTGACAGGCGTCCCGTGTTATCCCGTGTTTGCCAAAAGGTTGCTGACTTTGCTTGTTTGTGTGTGTCTGACAGGCCCATGAGCCGTGCAAAATTCCTTGGGTTACGCGCTATCGCTGCTATTGGCTTGCAATGGCGTAAAGTCACAGTTTGTATTTATGGGCCAGTTAAGTGCCGATTAGAACGGCGCGCGTCAAGGTCTGGCGTCGGAAACACGTCGGAAAGCTAACGCTTGGGCCCTCAAAACTAGGCGAACCGAGGGCCCGCGAGGGCTCGAGCGTCGGAAAGCCGTCGGAAACGTCGGGAAGCCGTCGGAAACGAAACGTCGGGAAGCCGTCGGAAATATCAGGAAGCCGTCGGAAACGCCGGGAAGCCGTCGGGAAGCCGTCGGAAACGTCAGGAAGACGTCGGGAAGCCGTCGGAAACGCCGGTAAGCCGTCAGAAACGTCGGGGGGGGGAAGCCGTCGGAAAGCCTTTTCAGAAACCGCGGAATGCCAGCATGAGTGAGAACGCCGTCGGAAAGCAGATGTCGGAAAGCCTTCCGAGATCTGTGTTGCTAGGAAATACTTGTCCGTGGCAACTGAATCTTTTGCTTGCCGGCCAGGACGGTGTGCGGGCCAATAACTGTCAAAGCGATTGTTATTGAATGATCGATAGTGGTTGCAGACCCCGAGCAGCCGGGGCCCTCGCTACGAGGGGTCGTGTTTCTATGGCCCCTCGCCATTCTGCCCCTGAGGGCCCGATGCCGCCCCGAAAAGATTTGGAATCCTTAGGGTGGGCATCTATTTTTGACCCACACCCAAACCTCGTTGCAATATCGCCACATGGCTGCGGATACCAACAGACGTCCAGACACGCAGGACAGCTCGGTGGAGTTTTGGCTCCTGAGAGCTTCCGTCGACTATTGAATGTCTGTCGGATCTCAAAAAGGTTACAGTACCTTGGAGGGGGGGAAACCCACTGTGTGCGTGTGCGAGTTTGTGGGCAGGTACAATCTCAACGTTGTGAATGGTTTCACACCACAGTTGTGCAATGGCACGATTGTTCTTTGATTGGCTTGTTCCTGTGCACAAACAAAGGGAAACGGGTCTCATGGGGCATACCATTTCTCCCCTCAAGATCGAACAGCAATCACCGCTCAAACATTCCGAGGCTGAGGGATGTCATGGAGATCCAAGCCTCCAGCGGAGCCTTCACAGCCATCCGATCTGATGGGGTCTTGGTATGCTGGGGTAGCCCCAACTGCGGCGGAAGCTGCGAGGACATACAGGAGCGGCTGCTTTTGTTTGGTTTCCCTCGCAACCTGTGGATTTTGGATTCCTGTTGCTGAAATCTGTGAGTTTTCATGGGGTTTTACTGCAATTCTGTTGAGGGATAAGCGAGCAAATGGCACGCTGTCCAGGAGCCTTCCACAAGCCAAGGGCCAATGACAGGCAGCAATTTCGTGGATGTACATCCCGTTCCCAACAAAATGCGAGTGGGTGGGAGAAGTGGCTAGCTTTCTAAGGAGGTGCGTGGACGCGCCAAAAAACCACTCCAAGACCCTTGAACCTTCAAGTTTGGACAGAGGCCATGCTATTGTTTGTTGCACTCGAGCCTAAATGGGATTGATGTGAAAGCAAGAGTGGGCCCAACCGTGTTCAGGACCTGCTCATGGACCAGATTTGAGCACTGAACTCCTCCATGTGAACAACGGTGCGAACCTGATCCCTTCCAGTCCCTCAGCAGATGCCAGGAGTCAATATGCAACATGGACATTTTCTCAAGGACTCCTGGGCCATGTGGGCTTTCACGTTGGGAGGATGTGAGTGTTTCTCCTTGGCCTCTGGCCAAGTAGCACATGGATTGCCTCGTTCTGAAGAAAGAACGCCGACTGGCCACTGACCCCGCAGAGTCTCCACCTCTAGCAGCTGGCCGGCGGCTCGGCGGCACGTACACATCCGCAGGATTCCACGGGCAGTGCTTCCGAAGCGCGCAGCGGAGTCTGGAGAAAAGTGGGTTTGTTTGGTGTCGAACTGTCGTGCTGCTCCGCCTGCCTCCCTTGCTTTGGGTACGCTATGGCGAGTTTGCTAGCCAAGCGTGCGGGGGGAGTGCCACCCACATTGGCAGACATGTTTTTACAGCTGGAGCACGACATTATGGGGTGCCGAGTTGGGCGGAACAAGCTGCATTTGAGCTAGACCCTTGCATTGAAACCCCGACGTGCTGTTGTTGGGCAAGCTTGCCTGGGACATGCAGTCACAATAGGAACAGCACGGATTTCAGAGCCATTCAAAAAAATTGGAGCTGTTTTGGATGAGAGATCCTCCAAAAAACACCGAACTCACATGTTTTCCCAAGCAATCATGCTTCCGCCAACTTGCCGCCACTGGCAGGGTACTAGTATGTTTCATCTTGGGCCACCCGATGAATCGATTGGCCAGGAGGGCAAAGATCCCTGCAAGCTGCGGAACATTGAACAGAAGTTGGTGCCCTTGGCCTCTTGGAATGCACGAAATGCCAGATGACCACCAGCGAGCCAAGCCGAGTGGTGTGGCCATCCGGGAGATAGAGTTGGCTTGCCAAAGTGTGGTGGTCACAATACATGGCTGGACCCTACGATCTAAACAACATGGGGCAGAGCTTTGAAATCATTGAGCGCATTCGGTGCGTTCCTCTCAACCCAGTGCTTGCTGAACTGAGGCTTCAATTCCACGAGCTGCTCGGCTCAAGTCGTTTGGACACGTGCAAAGGTAATTGCTAAGGCAAGAGGCATGACGCCAGGTGGCTTTCAATTGCTTGGTCAGGAGCGCGCCATTCGTTGCACTGCAAGTGCTTCCCAAGCACTGGCATAAACCCCAGCAAAGATGTGGAACTTTAACGATAATTGTGTTCAGGATGCGTGTAAGATTGCCTGGCAAGTTTGCAAGTACCTCAGATGGCGTTGACTCCAGCTGCAGTAGTCGAGACTTTGTTCAGGTCGTCACTCGGCTCCAGCTCATCCTCCTCGCTCAGAGCCTGGGTAGCCGCATGGATGCTGCCAGGTGGGGAGTTCGTCTTTTGGCATGATTTTACATCTTAAACATACCTGGAAGTCCCTACGTGTAAAAGATCCGCGTTTAGGAAGCTGCGTTTTCAGTCTGGGACGAGCATTTCTGCATATTTCTGCCTCCAGGCAATTCGGACTGGCTTTTTGCAAGGTCCAGCTGGCCAACCATTTTTTTGCCAACGGCTTTTTTTGTGCATCAAATGGTGCTTTCTGCCGTTCGCAACAAATCTTGACTATTCTCGAACTGATCCGACCGCGTTCTCCTTGACAAAGCACATTTTGCAATCTCAAAGAGCTGCGGAAATTTAACAACCGTCAGGGGTTTACTACATATGGGCCCACATCAAGCATGGTTTTCGGTTGAGGGCAGCCGCTTCGTTAGATCAAGTGGTTTCTTTCCCCCTTTTTTCCCTGTCGATCCCTTTAGGAGAGGCCTCCAAACTAGAGGTGCTTATTGGATGAGATGTGTAGGGTGTCCTCTTGAAAGGTATGCCAAACTCATCGCAATGGGCCCTGAAAGGACCAGGGTCGCACAAGCTGAGTTGGCACATGGCCCCTCCTGGGCTTCAGGAGCAAGCTGGAGCTTTTGGTCGGCACTGCGCTGGAGCTGAAGAACTGCGCGCTCATGCGGGATGTGGTGAAGATCATCCAGGTGCTTCGGAAGACGAGTAGTCAAAGGGGCAGTGGTTAGAAAGCCTGGTTATAACCCACAAAAGCCATGGTTATAAGTCTCCCAAGCAGGTTACAACTTACAACCAGGCTCACTAACCACTTGCGAAGATCCCTGCGCCTTTGAGTAGTTCCCACCTCGGGTCGGCTGCTTCTGGACGAGCAAGTGAGCAGGGTGTGTTTTTTGAATCGTCTTCTATCAGACGAGCAAATGAGCAGGGTGTTCTTTTTTTGTTCAATGTATCAAGCCACGAGCAAACGGCTGCGGTATTGATTTAGCATGAGCCCAATGCTGGCCCTCACTGACCTTATATAGTGGTCCTTCATGGCCTTTCCTAGTCACCAATAGTTTCAATCAATATTTGAGAGTACTGCCTTCACATTTAGCTTGTATCCACGTTAGATCTACTCCGTGGCTGTGATTTTGGGAAAGATGTACCATCCGAAAGGAACTTTTGCCCACCAAAGGACTGCCAGGGCAGCCTTACATCCTGTTTTGCCAAGGAGACTCTCAAGTGGAACGAGGCGCCCGGCGCAGCCACCTTCCAAAGGAGCGCTGGGCCTTTCAGGGACCGCACACGCATACATTTGTTGCATCCATGTTACACAAATATATACATTAAAGGTCTTTTTCATAGGGGCTGCTGAAGGGGATTTCACTTGCATTGCTCAATGGTAGGCTTGTAGTTGTTTGACCTTTGTTCCCGAACCCCGTCATAGGTTTGTTGTCCCTGCATTGATCGTGTGCGGTTGACGCCAAAAACGTTCCTATGCTTGCTGGTTCTCAACAGGGAATCGGGGAATGAACCCAACGGACAATTTCTTGTGGTTTCCTTTGTTGGCATCCGGTTCATAGCGACTGCCTAACCAGCCAGCCAAGACACAAGTTGGAGCTGGCACCCAGAAAGGTAGATCCCGGAAAAGAGTGCCATGGAGATAAACCTCCTCAACGATGACTCCTTACTGAGAACCTGCCAGCCGCTTCCGGGGACCTATGAGTTCCACCCAAACCAGGCCCTCAAGTGAGAATGGAGTATGTTCCTTCTAATGAGTGTCTATATGGGTTTGTCTTTTTCGAGGGTTTCTTTTTGTTTGTGCTTGTTTGAGCGGAAGCCAAAGGGGAACACGTTTTTGGCCCTTCCCCCCCCAAGCGGAAAAAAAAACACATAAAATAAAAAATAATACATAGTCATATAGTGAAGCGGAAACAAAGCATGCAGTCATATAGTGATTGTATGTCTCATGTTTCTTTTTGGGCTGGTTTCGTGGGTGGAAACCATCTCTCTCCGGTCAGGACGCGGGTCTTCCCGGTGGGCAAGCAACTGGAGCGCCTGAACACGCTGAAGCCGACCGGAGACTTGCTGCCCAAAAGGCGACACGACTGGGTCGACCATGCCGTTGCGTCGGCTTCCCCCCCGCAACAAAACGAAGATAATAGATGGACTAAGACAACAACTATCCAACCGTGGGACATAAGAGCAAACTTTATATACATTTGTTTTTGGTGAATAACGCAAAATTAAGACAACAACAATCATCCAACCATGGAACACGCATTACACCAAAACAAATCAACAAGAGAACGAAGAACAAGCAAAATGGATGGAATATGGGTTGTACCAAAGCATGGAATCGGAACGCAAGCGTGGATCATGGTTTATTTCGGATTGTCTTAAAGAAGCATGGACTGCCCCCTTAGAAGACACATGCGGGCCAATGACACCAAATGTTCCTTGTAAAGTAGGCGGTGCTGAATGTGAAGATGCCAAGAGGCTTTCCTCAAATGGTCCACCACATGAAATCGCCAGATGCTTCTCCATCACATCTGGGGCCACTGCGGGAGCTATCCTCTTTTTAGGATCCCCCTTTTGGGTTCGATGTGAATTTGCACAATGCGTCCATCTATGCACCACGCATCTATTGGGGAAGTCGGGGAGGGATGCCACACAAGGTTTGCATGTTACCGGAGTATGAAATAGCACCGCTCATTGTCCAAGCTTGGGGCTTGGCACTGCACACAATGACACCTATACAAAGCCAGCAGCAAGGACCCCAAAAGCTCATGGGGTGAACACCCTACTTTTGCACGGTATCAAGGAAACCCCAAGCCAAGTTTCAGGTATCAAAACACATGTTTGACCCACCTAAAAGGAGGATTTGGGTTTCACAGGTACCTCCTGAGTTTCTGGCCGTTGAAGGAATGGGTCCCTCAATACCTGCTGAGAACAAAGTGGTTGTCTTCCTGTTTTGTAGATGTGAACGGTGCGTAGCTGCTCACTTGGCTGCGGAAGTTTGGCAGGTTCCCGCGCTACACCTACGTTCACCTGCTGGCAGAGGCTTTGGATTGTCAGATTGATAAAAGACAAGTGGGAACTGCTCGCTTGAGGGCCCTTTGTAAGTGTGGTTGTCTCGTTTAGTAGAGAGGCCCTTCAGATGCCCTTCAGCTCACATGTTTTGCCCCTCCAAAGGGAATTCTGATTAACTTGCTTGCTGAGGAGGTGGCAGTGTGCGTCTTCAGGCGATTTTGTGGTTTTTCAGAATTGTGCGTTCAGAGTTGTGTGCTTCGGACTTTGCAGCTCAAATTTGTTTCAGCATTTTTGTTCGGGCGATTTCCTTGGCCGCACATGACCGCACCATGGCTGAGAGCTGCGTCCTGTGTATGGGGTGACAAAGTGGAAGCAGCAGGGAGTCGTTGCGGAGCTGCCAAGTACATCACAAGAAAGCACGGCAACAAAAACAAGGGCGTTGTGAGCCAAGCCACAATCACCCAAGATAGCCTTCGAGACCGGAACGACTCTTACCTCCTGGCTATAAGCCAGGAGGTAAGAGTCGTTCCGGTCTCGAATGAGACCAGCCACGACCAGCATTTGAGCATTCTCTCGCATAATCTGTGCAGCCATGTGTTTCTCGGTCAGCACGTAGCTCCTTGCACTTCCGAGTGCTGAGCGGTATCCTTCGAGGGCTGGCCCTCGTTGCCTTTGGGACCATTCCTTGGTGGCTTGCCTGGGCGCTTGTGGAGGCGGTGCAGCTGGAATCCCCTAAGCACGCCGGAGGATGCTCGAGTCCCGGCATGGCTGTGAGAGGGCTGCGACGACGACTTCAATCCCGCAAGGCTGCCTAAGTTGTCACAGGTCTTGTTTTTTTTCTGCAACCCATGGGCTGGGGGCAGCACACTGCAATTGCCCTTTCGTGGACCCTATGGCTGCGGTGTCCTTTGTTGCAGCAAGAGTTTGTCCTCAGCAAGGAGAAGCTGACCGTCAGCAAGTGGTATACCGTGAATTTACGTATCCCGAATTTGGCTGGTACATCATTCCCTGCTTGAGCTTTCTTACCTCGACCTTACTGCAACTCTTGCCAAGCAAAGACTTGGCTGGCACTGCCGCAGGGAGACCTACCAAAGCCGTCCACTTGGGACCGCCTCAAGGTCCACAAGCTCTTTTGCCTCCTGATGCTTGACGCTTTTCGGATCTCAACTGCATCGCAGTTCAGATCCGACAAAGCGTCAAGCATTAGGACCTACATTAGGAGGCAACAGAGCTTACTGCATTTGAACAAGCACTACCTCTTTGGCAAAAAGGTAGTGCTTGTTCCAGAAAAACGTGACGATGTGCTCCTCATACTCGTGGCGTCCAGCGTGCAGCAGCTGCGGCAGAGTGGGCCAAAGGCTCTCTTGCAAGAATTCCGAGAGTCACTTCCGTGACTCTTGGTATTCTTCACAGAGGACCTTTGGCCCACTCTTTCTAGGAAAAAAGCCTGGAAGCCCCGCTCTTGCTGCTGCTTCAATTTTACACTTTCCCCTTTGTGACTGGCGACCTGCGCGCCTTCAGTTTTCCATGCTGTCGAGCTTGCACAGCATCACAGATGCGGCCTATGTTTTGTTTCACCTGGCCATGTTGGACGAACTCGTCAAGTTTCCACTGCCAGAGTCAGAATAGCTCAGGCCCGCAGGCTAAGGAGCCTGGCCCATGCGCTTAAAACACGGGTCTGGCAGCCTGGCGGAACCTGCGACAGGCACAGGGTCAGATGTTTGTAACGACTTCACGTGCTGAGAATCATAAACTATTGCCCCAATAGATTTGGCTGCGTCTAGGTTGCAGGAACACTACCTATCCACCATTCCTTAAAGCAGAATCTCACGTGAGTTGGAGATGTGTGGCCTCTGACTGTTTGCCACCCGCGTTGCGCCACCATCATAGACTGGCCGGAAGCATAGGAATCCTTGCAACAGGTCCGCCAGTATGGGGCCAACGGACTCCTGGGCTTCATGGAATCTCAGGCCAAGTTCTGCCAACAAGGCCCCGGGTGTCCCTTTTTTGTTTAAACCGCGCGTAGCAAGTTGCGCTGGTTTCAGAACACCCTTGGTACATCTTGGTACCAAGAGTCGAAAGGGTTGCCGCTCACATGAGCCAATATGCAGACTTATTCGGGTAGGACAGGGACAGTCCCAATCTTAGATAGGTCCGGAATTTCGAGCTGCAAATGACTTGCAGTGGCTTGGGTACACCCTTTTAGTAGCAGGTGTTGATTGTGACTCGCTTAATATTCCTGCGGCATAGTCATCAACTTTTTAGAACGGAGATTAGACCATTCTAGTGATGTGAGCTCGGACCACGTTTTAGGGTTGAATTACATTGCTTGTGCTTATTCGGGCCCGCAAGAGTCCGAGTCCGTGCGTTGGCCTTTCCGCAACTTCTTCTGCTTGGCAGATGCCCGAATGGGTGAGCAGTCATGGAGGTCATGTTATGGCCCATGTGCCACCTGGCAGTTTCCCTTGTGGCGGTGTTGCGCTACTAGGACCAGGGTCCTTTTAATTCTGAACAGCCCGTCAAGATCCATATCCACTTTGTATGTAATGTATAGAGGATAGAGGAACATGATCATGCTTCGCGCATGTTCCCTTCTCGGCTCGGGAAATAGCGTATGGGGATATGGGGGGTGGACATGGTGGACCTTGCACGCCCCACGTCCCAATCGGCGTCGTTGCCAGGTGATGATCTTCAAGCAGGGCATGCCTTTGCCGGAGGATCCCTTCGCAGAAGCTGCCTTTCGACTGACTGGGTGTTTGTGGCTTATGATGAGGGGACTACCTTGACGGGGTTACGACAAGCTCATAAGAACCTTTCTCTTTTGGGCGGGGGGGGGGGGGGGTTCCCTAGGTTTGGGTTTTGGAGTTTGGGATTCGGAAGATCCGGCAAGATTCGACGTTTTGGTCGGGGTGAATGACCGGACAGCGGCAAAGGAAGGGCACAAGGGCCCATGAGCCCCGAAATCTGAATCCCATAGGCCGCATATCGGGCGTCCCATCCCTAGATGAAACCACACGCCAAAAGTGCATCCAAACCGTTTGCACAAATCTTCAGTCATAGCTCATTTATGGATTCCTTTTCTGTTCCACAACAAACAGGGGAACGTACGGGGACTCGTCCACATGTCCAAGACGAATTTGGTCAACCCCCGTCAGGTTCCAGCCCTGGACCGCGCCACGAAGGCCAACCCGGAGCTTGCCTACGAGGCCCGGAACATTGCGCAAAGGTGTCGTTCGAGTCGGAAAAGCGCCGATCGGCACAATGTGAATGAACATATCTCATTCGATGGAAAGCCGCTGGCTTTGGCTCGATGCTAGGGGCCAAACTCGAGCACGGGTTGGTTTGGGTCGCCAGGAACTGCAGAAGATCCAGGAGAAGCAGAAGCTTGTGGCCGCAGAGTTGCAGACCCATGCGTCTTGGCGTTAAGGTGTATGTTTTTGGGGGTTGCCCTTTGTAAGATCGGATGTACTTGAGGGAAGCCCAAAGGAGCACCACAAAACTGTTTGGCCCCTTCAGTTTGGCACATATCCACATGGTCATGTGGGCAAGCAATCATCAATCAGTATGCCAGGGTGTGGTTTCCCTTGTGTTGGTGTCCCACTATGGGGAATGAACATGCATGGACTAGAGATTCTTCCATTTTAACAATCCAACTTGGCTGAGCGGTCCCAGGGGTTCTCATGGAGACCCATGGAGGGGTGCCTGTCAAACCAAATTCACGTTGGCTCTTGGCAGCATATGTGCAAGCGAAAAGCGTGACCGGGCGAGGAAGTAGCAGTTTCAGCCACGACAATGTGTTGAAGTGATGTGTATTATCCCAAAAAGTATGTTTGAGTTCCCCAAAGTGGACCAGCCTGATGTTCTTTGTTGAGTTTTCTAGACGCCTCCCAAGCGCAGCCCAGCCCTTTCCAAGGCAGACTCCTACTCGCAAGTTCAGGCTGGGCATCCATGGCATTCGGAGGCAACGATGTTACGTTTGGATGGCTGGAAAATCGGAAGGGAACATGACATCAAGCATTTGACCATTGCGGGGTGGTGGTTAGGGGATGTTGACCATTTGGTATCGTGTTTCTCCAATATAGATTATACGCACCTGCTCCTTGATCACCTGTGTTTCCACTGGTTGCTCTTGATACCCGTTTAGTACTGTTTTTGGTGGTGCCCATCCCTGGTTGTGATTCAGTTGGCCCCCCTTCATCATGGACAAGCAAGACAAATGCCACCCACAGCCCACAGGAGGATGTCGTTTCCGTCGCCAACCCAGCCCTTTGCTGTTGGTGCCATATTGTCTTTTACATCCGGAAGTGTCAGTGGGTCCAAATTCAGTTCAAGTGGGAAGCGAGAAGCAACTAGCACCATGCACATTTGGAACTCTGCAACTGGGCTTCCCAGCAGTCGCTTCCACTACCGAGTTGGCCGTTTCAGGTGGAAGCTGTCGAATCTCCAGAGGCTCGCGATTTGAAAAAACCGAGCGAACAGCGTAGAATGAGGCAGTGGCCCGTTGCATGCTTCGGATTTGCACTAGCAATTTCTTCAAATGATAGTTTTTTTCGTGCGCAACATGTGTCCGTTGCGCGACTCAAACTGTGTTGTCTGTATGTTTGGATGGATTCATGCATTGCGCTGCTGGAAGCCCTTGCAGGATTCGATGTTGTGCGAGCAATCCAAACAGTTCTTTCGTGTTTCGCCTGCGGCTTGTCACGGAAAGGAGCTCATGGTTCGTACCTCGGGATGGTTTTTGTCCTTAAGTGTCAAAATTGAACAGGATGCAACATACTGTGGATCTTTTGGCGCTTTGCTCTTAGTGCATAGATCACAGGTGGATCCAGCGTTGCACGGCACCGGACAAAATCCTGCACCACTTTGACCCTATGGGAAACCATTGATTGTTGGTATTTACAGGCAAATCGTCATTCCAGGGTGTCTTAGGTGGTGCAGAATTTCGTCCATCCACAGTACCTCTTTTAAAATACTCTAGAATGCACTTTGAGACAGGAGGGTGGGACACCTTTGGCAGTTCCAGAGTCTCGCAGACAAGAAACCATGCCGCGCCGCGCAGGGAAACGCGGGTACTGGCTAATGGTTGCACTTTTCGCAGGTCTGGATGCGATATGTTGCTGGGAAACAGTCAAAGGCGCTTAGCCTGATTTCTCTTTCAGGGGTTCAGGGAGAGTCATCAACCTGGCGAACAATAGGGGTGTGCAACTCCAGCAGCAGTGAAGAATCCCCTCTATGAATCAACCAAAGGCTATATGAATCAAGATAGAAACGACTTTTGTCCGCAAATTTGAAAGGAAATTGCTGTAAGCTTGGTTGGCCAGTTGGGTTCCATGTGCATTTGGGATTGCGGACATCTCCAGCAATCATGTAGTACGGCACAACCACCTGGTTTGACATCAGGCGATGGTTCGCCGCAAGGTATTCCACATTATGACCGACGGCACCGCTAGCGCTCGGCAGCCTACCACTTGCGGGCACCGTTTCCACCTCATTGGCTACAAGTAGCCAACTCCGGAGGGGGGGTTCTGCCCACTGGGGGGAGAAATGGAACAGCATGTTTTCTCTGCATGTGCCACCCGAGCCTATATTGGGGGCACACTGGGGGGAATTTGCATCAACATTGGCGCATCCGAGGCCGGCGTCATTCACTTGGAGGATGCGGATCGTGGCGGACGAGAGACCCTCACGCAAGCTGGCAGCGGAACATCGGGGCTCGGAGTCCGTGTGGGCTCGTCTCGATGGTCACTTGAAAACAAGCCCTTCTCAAGGGGGGTACATCCTTGTTTCTTCCCTAGGATGCATGCAATGCCCAAGGGTGCAATATAATTGTGTGATGCAAAACCTGTTGCCCAGCTTCTTTTGCAGATTTGCACTTTGGTTGGAGCGAATCCTTTTGTTGACTTGGTTCACGGAGCATTGGAGTCCCCAAGATTCAAGACCCCATGAGGACACGTGTGAGAATGTTGAATCTTGTGCATGCCCACTTCACCCGCCTTTTTGTTCAGGTACCCCCTTAGGGTTATTTGATATTTGCAGGCCCTCCCACGCATGTTACATCCAAGGCCTCCTGCCTGGGGCAATGAGCCTGAGGCTCGCGCCGCGCGAGAGAGTTTGCCTTTTGATGCCTTAAGTTGGGCTGGCCAAAACATGACACCTCAATTCTTGAAAAAAGGTCATTTGAGCCAGTTCAATCACCTTGACCAGCTGCTTTGGAGGTGTCCCTTGAAGAAGCAGATGGTTGGATATGTCATGTCAATATTTCCTTTAGGGGACCCTGCAAGAGGTGATCCTTAATCCTGTGGACAGCCCCCCCTTCTGTAGTGGCTTCTCAATCAATATTGTGAATTGCCGAGTTAAGGACGGATGGGTATGTGTCAAACAAAACAACATGTGTCCCCAATATGGCTGCTTCCTGATCTTAGAGCCGATTTCGATCCTATGTGGGTAGCGAGTTGTGTTTCGCATAGCGGTCAACTCGCGCATGTGGTTGTGTCTTTTTGTGTCGGTTTATGGACTGTCTTTGCAAGCAACACAAAATGGAAACTAACCACTTTGAGGGCGCCTTATTTTGAGACAGCCGATGCGAGTGGCTCCAAACGCGCGAGAGTTTCCGCTACCCTCAGACCATTGCCCGAAGTGGTCAAGTTGTATATATATATATATACGCTCACATTCTTTGAAGGCACGTCGTGAACAGTATTGGGCACCTTACTCAATCCCTATTTGTGCCCACAGGGGAGCTTGTGACATATCATCAGGTTCACAGCGCCCCGGAACCCTTAGAAGCTTGCGCGGCCAACTTGTTCGATGACGCTTCCCTTTTGAATATACCCCCTATCCAAAATACCAGCCTTTTTCAGGGTGTTTTTGGGAAAGCCTGGGTTTCCATGGTAAATTCCTCCTTGTTTAGCAGTGGGTTGACATGATACCATGAAAACAAAGGGTATTTGGAGTAGGGGGTACCACGGCAGCCAAGAAGCGGCGCATCGCTTTGTGGGGTTTGGGTTTTTTTCTCGGCAAACCTCGGCAGGTGCCAGCGCCGCGGCACGCGAAGCTCCAGCGGCTGCAGTTCCAGCCCAGCGGGACCTACCTGCCGCCCGACAGAGTGGCGATGTGGACGTGATGTCAACCCCCCCCCCCCAAAAAAAAAGGGGGGAAAATGCATAAAACAAAGCAACAAAAAAAAACATAAACCTTGTATTGGTTAACGAATGCTAGGTGACCATGGCGTTCTTGCGCTCCTTATGCGCGTGGAGAATGTGTGTTTCACCTTCTAGCTTGCAACAAGGTTGTGCCCTGCATTGACTTGACTGTCCTATCCCGTTTTACAGTTGTAGGATTAATTGAGATCTAGATGCATGCATCAAGTTTCTATTTGCAAATCGGATTTCGATCATCATTCATTGGCGCATGGATTTGCGTTTGCCAAAAGTTCCCACAACTTCTGGTAGTTTCAGTTCCTTGATTCTCTTTCTTCCTGGAAATGAGCCAGTGCCCTGGTTCGGTCAAACTCAGTGGGCTCTTGACGGGAAGGCCTAGGATCTTTGAGCGCGATAGGTTTGAATACTGGCTAGTTCCTCTGTTGCGCATGGCTGTGGGTTCTGCGACTCAGGCGGGGTTGCGATCCAAGCGACGGCGAGAGGCGGGGTGAAGGACGGCGCTCATGGATTTGAGTGCTATGTTCTAAGTTCTCCGGAAAACTTTGGCTTGATTGCACTACCAAAAGGAAGATCAAAGGGCTTAGGAAACGGATATGTCTATATATATATATATATATATCTATATTGTTTCGAGGGGGCCCTTTTCGGCGGTTTTAACGCAAAGCTAAAGGCCAACCACCTATTTTGGCGCTCCCCTAGTTGAAGCTGCACTGATGTGCTCCATCTTCCCCTAGAGGAAACGCCCCCAACGTTGTTTGAAAACTATAGGTTTGTTTAGGCCAACCAAAAGGGGATGCCCGCCCCCAACAAAAAACGGGTTCTAATGGATAGGTTCCGATCGCTTGCACCCTGATGCACACTCATGTGTGTAGCATTCGAAAGGAGCCCCAGCTAAACAAATCAGGAGACCCTAAACGGAATGGCAGCGAGGCGTGATTGTAGAATCTAGTTGTCTCCCCCTTTTGTGGCTCCCCTATGTGAATTGGCCACAGGGCCAATGAGTTTGGGGAGCTATGCATGCACTGTCCGCGCTGGACTAACCCTGGGCTGCAAAGCTGGAGGGAGCACAAGCAAGAAAATCAACAACAAAAACGGATTCTATTTGATAGGTACCGATCGCTTGCACCCCTACGGACACTCACGGGTGTGTAGCATTCGACAGGACCCCCAGCTAAACAAATCAGGAGACCCTACCGGATTCTATTAGGCAGGTTCCGCAAGGAAGCGTTTAGAGCCCATCCAACGCGTCGCCCAAATTATGGCTTTCCTTCGCCCTTTTGAATCCCAGGCCCGGTGAAAGCCTTTGGCTTCTGCAACCGCGTGGGTGGCGCAAGCCTGTATGGCTGAGGTGGGAGTGGCCAAGTTGTTTCTAGAGTCCTCCGGGCTCGCCCCTGGAGCTACAATCAAAACCCGGGTAGTTGATGGTTAGTAAGGGACAATCGCAACCACAAATAGTGCGGCCGCCTTTTTTATTCTGCACATGGTTCCGTGTAGGCCATTTTAATGCCGGGTTTTGATTATGACTCATTTGTTTGGAAGGCAATTTTGATGCAGTCGCGTAAAGGACCCAGCTGCAAATATTTACTTATGTGTCCCTGTCTGGCTGATTGAAGCATCACCTTGGATGCCTTCGCTTAGGCTAGTTTCCTTGACGGGGCGATTTTTCCAGGGGAACATGAAGAAGCTTCCAGGAACCGTGCATTTGTCTTCGGTGGCGGAAATACCCCGATTTGATTTGAGCAGCTCAGGCTAGACTCACCATGACTCACCTTCTGTTTCTCGCACCGAGGTTTAGATCAACTGGCTTCTCAAAGCTGCGCCATTTTGCCTTTGCACACCCCTTTCAGAGGTTCTAGGGGTTGCTTCCCCGTTCTTTTCAACCATCGTTCTTTTCAAAACCGATCGCTGTTCGTGCTGGGGTTCTGATGGTTTTCTGAAAAGATCTTGGATCCCTGGAAAGAATGGAAATGGAAGTGTCCCCTTTCAGTGGTGGGCACCCTCCACCCAGAGCTCTGGGTCCAGGTGCCAGGCCACGCTGCGCGCGAGGCACCTGGTGCTTCAAGAGGACGATGGGTCAGACAAAGCCCCCAGTCCAGTGGATTCCAGCAGTTCGTCGATTTGTTGGAGGGGTTCGCTTTATTATGAATAAACAACATGACGCCTTCTATTCCCATATGACTATGGGCGACTATGGGTCAGAATTTGTTGGACGAGTTCACTTTGCTATTAACAAACAACTATAGACGCCTTCTATTCCCAATGCCCAAGTGGCAGCTGTTTGTCTTGTTTAGGCTCAATGGACACGGTGATTTGTTGGTGTCCATGAGCAAGAGCTCGGAGAATCTAACCCAGCACCTTCCCATGACTTCATGTCTAGCGGTTCCGTGAGATCTGAACGGCCCAAGGGTACGCGCTGGGCGGAGGTTTTGGCTCCGGTCGCTTGCGGTTCAGGAGGCCCAGGAGGCAGCCTTCCCGCTGCCCGGGGCAGAGGCCGGTGTTCTTTTTCTGCGGGGGAGTCCAGGAGCCTGGAGCCCAGATTTGGAAGGCTCGTTTTTTTGATGAGATTTCACATGGAGTTGAATTGATATGGATCTGACATGTGCTGTTTGAAGTGGAGCCAAAGGATGTGGATGATCAGTAGAGCAGGGTCATAGGTTTAAGGTGTTGTTCTTCTTGAGTTTCAATCATTGCGTGTTCTCATGTTGTTATCCCCCTGTCCTCGGGCTTCCCCGTTCAAGCCAACTGTGTGCAAGACAGGCACGGGAGTCAAAGCTGCACAGGCCCACTGTGGGAAAGACGGGCAGTTGTGCACACCACAGGAAGAGCGCAACTCGGTTTTCGGATGACTGGAAGGGGAGCTGTGCTGTTTTCGGACTGTCCTTTCAGTGAGTACACGCCTTTCAGTGAGCACACGCCCTGACTCACAGCTCTCTCCCATTCCTTCCGCTGTCGACCGCTTGCGGCCGTTTCGCCCGGCTTTCATTCCGGCCAGGCCCTGGAGCTGAGTTCCATTCTGGCCTCATCCGTCGCCAAGTGGTTGGCCTCGCTGGGCCTGCATGGCGCCTTGGCCAAGACGTTTCTTTTGACTTGGCACGGGGGAATTTGGGTCATGGGGATGTGGGCGTTCTTGGGGGTGGGTTTGGAAGGACTCCACCAGGAAAGCACCCGTAGGGGGCTCGTTCAAAGCTATTGGAACCTTGGAGAGTTTGCACACTGGGTGGCCTCACTGACACGCGCATGGAACCTGAAAGGACCCACGCGGTCCTTTCTTGTCTTTCAAGTTTCTGCCGTACCAAGGGAAGCACCTCGAACCTGACAGAGTCGTCATATTGAGCGGAATAAACACCTTGATGTCAGGCAGGTGTTCTTTTCTTACAACCATTTGTTATTTGGTTAACAACCAAAAAAACCAAGACGCCAACAAACTTGGGGAGGGCCTGCCTCTCTGATAGCGTGTCCCAAAAAAACGAACGACCGAACGGGTTTTTGGTAAACCCACGACGCTCCGCCCGCCCCCGTTCGTCCGCAGCGGCGAGGTATGGAACTGCTCTCGGAGGGCGGGGGGCACACGCTGCTCCTGCTGGACACAGCTGAGGCGGACGCGGGGTGACGGGGTGCAACAGACTGGCGGTGTGGGGCCCCGGATGGTGTTTCTTCTTTTTGTTTTGGTTCTATTTTGTTATCAAGATTCGGACTCGCAAATGGAGGTTCTTTGAGTTTCCGGTATACCGGAGACCCCAGAGCCTTCACAATCCTCCAAAATGGGTCATTGCTCGAAACTTGGTGGTTCCCAGCCGTCCCCTTGGCTTTTTAGCTTCTTGGCTTGTTAGTGTTTTGTGGTAGTTTCCCTTCAAACCACTAAAAGGTATTCACTCTTAGCAAGGGATCTGAGGACAGCCCCGCAAAGACAGGATCCTCAGCCTCTGCCATCGCCAGGCCGCCCGCTCCTGGGTTCAGCGCCTGAACCGGGAAGCGGAGCGGACAGGCGCCTCGACGCCGCACCGTTTGCGGCGCTTTCAAACACGGAGCCCGGTTAGTCGGTAGCACCAGTTTGTGGTTCTCTTTTTGTTTGCTGGGTTTGGGACCCACATAGGTGTCCTTTTTGGTTGGTTCTCTTAAAATAGAGGGCCCTGGTTTAGATGGTGTTTATTCCATTTACCAGGGCCATCTAGTTTTCCAAAAGGCCACCTATGGACCCACGCCTTTTTTGTCCTTTGGTTTTCCTTCTGGGCAATCAACCTGACAAGGGGGGCAGCCCCAGATATCCTAGCTGCAAGTGTTCCAAAGACTTGCGCTTCTAGTTCTAAGACTTGACTGTAGTAGTAGGACCGCCAGCAGCTTGGGTTGCATGATGGACGTGTTTAGAATGGCCCTGTGTCGCCCTCTCCAAGGCTTGCATAAGATCGGCTTCTTTGATCGAGTCACTCCGGGGCTTATATACATAGGATCGATTTGACTGACTCACCAGGTTTGGACTGAGCTTTCCAGGTGTGGCACTCATTGCTTCTCTGCGCCGCAGGCGCGGGTTGGCTGGTGATGGCGGATGTCATGGGCCGGCATCGCGCTGAGCAGGTTTGGGCCGTTGTGGAGGCCGGAGCCTCTGCCTTGGGGAGGGGTAGTGGGGGCATGGAGTGGGCGGGTGGCCGGGGGGGGGGTTTACCTGATGATTTTCAGGAGAGTCGCGTTGATCAACCGGGAAGATGCATGCTTCTCAACAAAGCCATAACCTGCTCTCAAGTGGGACGCCACTATACCAGTCTTCCAAGCACCCATCTCATTTGCTACACTAGGCAGGGTTCCTTCAAGGATACATCCAACAGCCACGCCTGCATCCTCTTAGTGATTGGCTAAGTGCCCGGCACAAATGTATCCCATAAAGGACCCTGTGATCACCGCCAGGAGGAGCGGAAACAGTTGCTGTGCTTCGACAACCCGCTGGACTATGCGGCGGGCCGGCCAGCAAGGCGCATGCCCGACGGCAAACTGTTCCCCCCTTGGCTAGGATAGAAGCCACCATAGGCCATTTACAAAGGGGAAGCATCATGTCTCCACGGAATTCTAGACACTTTGGTAGTAGGCTCATGTAGGTAGGCTCAACTTGTGGTTTCCCAACAGGCATGAATCTAGATTCTCAGCCGCACATTCTCTGCGAAAAAAAGGTCCTTAAAACGCTGGAGGGACCTCTAGGTTAGGCTAGGCCAATGTGTCAAATAGGGCTTTTAGTTTCTCTTTGAACCAAGTCAGAAAGGGTTCCCCCAAGAAGAACTCGCCCACTTTGGGCTCACGACAAGTTGAGCTCAAATTGGGCATCCACCTCTTAGAGTTCCACATGGCGAGGACCACGTTCTTCCTGCACCGGGACGCCCTGCAGATTGTGGACGACATGCACCCGGCCTCCGAGGATGTGAGCTCAGCCATCGAAAGGCGCGCCGGAGCGATGATGTTGCCCCCTGCCTTGATGAAAAATGAGTGTGCCCCAGCTTAAGGGAAGCTAGGTGTGGTGGGGACAGCCGCCGCTACTACTGAATGAATGTGTGCATGCATGAATGAAGGGACCGAATGAATGGAATGGAATGGGAATGCAATGGAATGGATGAATGAATGCATGAAGGGAATGAATGAATGAATGGAATGGAATGGAATGGAATGGAATGGAATGGAATGGAATGGAATGGAATGGAATGGAATGGAATGGAATGGATGAATGAATGACATGAATGGAATGAATGGAATGGAAAGGAATGGATGAACCAATGCATGAAGGGAATGAATGCATGAAACGAGTGAAATGAATGAATGCATGTATGTATGAATGCATGAATACATGAATGAAATGAATGAAATGAAATGAAATGAAATGAAATGAAATGAAATGAAATGAAATGAAATGAAATGAAATGAAATGAAATGAAATGAAATGAAATGAAATGAAATGAAATGAAATGAATGAATGAATGAATGAATGAATGAATGAATGAATGAATGAATGAATGGAATGAATGAATGAATGAATGGAATGAATGAATGAATGAATGAATGAATGAATGAATGAATGAATGAATGAATTAATGAATGAATGAATGAATGAATGAATGAATGAATTAATGAATTAATGAATTAATGAATTAATGAATTAATGAATTAATGAATGAATGAATGAATGAATGAATGAATGAATGAATGATTGAACTATTGAATGATTGAATGATTGAATGACTGATTGAATGATGGAATGACGGAATGACGGAATGACGGAATGACGGAATGATGGAATGGAATGGCATGGCATGGAATGGAATGGAATGGCATGGCATGGCATGGCATGGCATGGCATGGAATGCATGCATGAAGGAATGAATGAATCATTAATGAATGAGGTGGATGAATTCATCCAGGGTTAGAGTGGCCCTTCTCAAATGTGGGGCCTGCTTAATGTCAATCCCCGATCAATAAACCCCTGCTTGATCAATAGGGGGGGTGTCCCCTTTTAGTGGGGATTCATCATTTTGGGACCACCCCCTTAGTACTGGGACGGGTTTATTAATCCTGGGTCAACATTAATTCAAACAGTGTTTTTTTTCTCGGAATTTCTGCGCGTGGCGCTTTCAGTTTTTCAGAGCGCAGGCTCAGGCGCGAATCCTCGGAGCTGGCCTTTGTGGTAAAGGACCGCCTGCCGGATAGAGCGCGTTTGCGAGATGGTGGCAGTGTTCCTTGTTGTAGTGATGTCCCACGGCGGGTTATGAATTAGGCCTCGGGATTCCCCCCCCTTGTCGAACAACCTGGAATGATTTTTATGCTGCAAGGTTGAACCGGAACCGGAATGCGGACATATTTTGATGTACCCTTCGGCCCTTCGGTTAGTCCAAAGAGGGTCCAAGAAGAAGTCCTTTGGGCCAAGCAGATCCATCGACCCATCGGAGGAGGAGCCGGAGCTGCGATTGTCCATGGGCGCCCCTGACAGCTGCGCCCATTGGAGCGCCTTCGGCGTGGCCTTCGCCCCGGCCTTGAGGCGGATGTGGCGGGTTCGGAAGGAGACACTTCAGGTCTGAGGAGGAATTCCGTGGTAAGGTCTTTTAGTGGATGGGTTGAGTTTTGGGTTCCACCAGGCCTTGCAAGCCTCAGACACTTAGAGAAGAGGGAACGGGTTGTTTTTCTTGCCTTGTTTATGATTCGATTTCGACATCCACACCAAGTACTGCATGGAAGTAGCGGTGAAACCCTGTCCCGATACATGCTTCTTGTTGGCGACGTTTGCCCATCTCTGTGCGGGAGGGGGGAATTGTTGTGGTGGAGGTCCTTATTTGCTCGCCCATACTTAACCTGAATGCATGGCCATAACGATTGGGTGGTTTCCTTGCCGGCAACGTCACCATTGGGTGGTTTCCTTGCGGGAGTTCCCTGCCCAAAAGATCATAAACATCAAGCCTCGTGACCTGGGAGGCGGTGGCTGGAGAAGTTGCAGACCATGGCGAGGGCGGGGCATTTGCGGAAGAGCTATGGCGGGGCCCTGGACTTTGAGGCGAGGATGGGATCGACTCATCGGCGGGCGGGGGGTGGGGGGCTGGTGGCAGCTTTGTCCAAGATAATTTCTGTCCCAGCCTCAACATCAACTAACATGAGCAATATCTGGTTTCTTAGTTCCTTGTCGAGCTGTCCAACAAATATTCGTAGGGTCATTGGCAACTCGGAGATGTAGGTTCATGCGGTCAGAAATCCACAGCTCCTTTTGGGGTGATCGTTCCACCCAAAAGCTGTAAATCCTTGTTTTCTTTTATATTTGCTTCAAAAGTGGATGGGCCCTGAGGCTTTTGTGCTACAACTTGCGGACGCGAACAGGTTCGCCACTGTTGACAACCTGTCTGAAGCCCAGATATGCTGCCAAGCCAATCAAACATGCCCGGTTCCACCAGAAATCCCACATTTTGTTTGGAAGTAGTACCAATAGTTGCAATGGGGACCGGTTTAACCCAAGCCGGTCAACTCCCTGGTTGATTCACATGGGGCATATGATAGTTCGATAGGGATGGCTTCTTGTCAAGTTGCCCTGGTACTCCCCTCCCCTTTTCTCACCCAACCAAAGGACCTTTCCCCGGGTTTTTCTCAGTTGAGGTGCCTTACCCCGGCATTCCTTGGGGGTACTCCCCTCCAAATTTCTCAGTCGGGGGTGCCAGCCTTTTTTCAGCCGAGCGTTTCCCACCAGGCACCGCGGCTTTCCTGGATGGAAGCAGAGGCTGAGGCCGGGCCGTTTCGATGGGTCAACGCCCGGTTTTTTCTGATGGCTTGATGAAAGCTCACGATCCAGAGCGTAATAGGTTCGGTGAATGTTCATTGTACCCTAGCTAGCATGGGTAGTTGGTGACAGACGACCAGTTTGTCATGGTCATTTGATGGGTTTGCCTGTGTCGTTCCTTTACGACAGTACAACAGTATTGATCGTTACCCACAGGAGGTGTTTGCGTCCCAGCAGATGGAGGGAGTATCCAAAATAGAAGCCCTTTTGGGAATTTTCGGATGCTGATATCATTCGGATTAAAGGTCTTCCCCTTCGGTCGCCTTTTGTCCCATATCGTTTCATCCCGGGTAAGCCTCACAAGTGTGTGTTTTTAATGACTGGCGCGGAAAGAATGACATGCAGAAAGAGTCCACTGTGTCCCGCTGACTCAAAACAACATCATTGATGCCCAGGGAAACGCTCGGGCCTTGATTTGGGAAGCGTATTCACGTTGACGCAAATTGCGAATAGTGACCATTGTGGGGTAAATTTCTAAACTAATTCCCGCATTGCGAGCCAATCGTCATAATTGTCCTTTTGAGGTCTAGCAGCGCGTGCCAACGCTTGCGCTGCACCTGGCCCATTCAACGCATCCCTTTGCACATTGCATGACTGATATAGTGCAACCATGTGCAATTGAGAGTTTAAAAATCGTAGACCCCCTGTTGGATGATACCCGGAAATACCGGCAAGGAAACAGTTGCCATGTCTGGCAACCCCAATTTTGAGAAACACCAGCTAGATAATCGATTTGTTTACCCTGTCATTTTCCAATGGCGGTGGACATCAAACTTGCAGAATGCATGTGGGACTGCAGTCGCGGAAGGTTGGCGGAAGGTTTGCAGAAGGGTGTTTCTCGTGGAGGGCGTCGCAAAAAGGTTGATGCAGGAAAAAAACGGAGTGAGCAAAGCTGCATGCGCGGAAGGAAGAGTCACCAACATATCCCCGCGGAAGGCCGCGGAAGCAGTTGCGACAGAAGCATGCCCAGGCGAAAGGCCGAAAAAAGTCACACTAGGAATGCATAACAAAGTAATGGCAAACAAAGCTCAAATGGGTATTCCAAAGTCTTTGGCTTCTCTGTTTTTCTGTAAGGGGAAGAGTGGAACATGGTCCCTTGAATGCATCTGGGCCAGTTGCAAAATGGCTTGCACCTGCTGATTTCTGGATCCCCTTGCAAACCAGGTGGGTTTTGAATGTATCCTTTCAAGAAACGCTGTAGAAGCTCTGCTTTGTTCATCCTGCCGCGTCCAGGAGGTTGCAGCGCTCTCTCCCAAGAGCGAAGGCCGGGTCTGAATGAAGCAAGAGCGGGCAACCAATTCTGGACTTGAGCTTCCCCCATGCATCTAGTTCATACACGGGTGTTTCAAACATTGGTCCCACATTTTAGGGCACCCACATAGATTTAGACTTGACATCCCCGCCCATCGGCTGACTGGCTGCTTGAGCTTCTTTGCGTCATGCTGAATGGGGAGAGGACCCTGAAGGAAGGATTCACAAAGTTATGTCTCAATGCACGTTCCCTGTTCACCAGACTCGAACAACCTTTGTAATTACTTTTGTGTCCTTCGGGCTACAAGTTATCTCAGTCTGGCAAAGTGTCGTGGCTTAAGGTTTATTACAGGTCCTTGGACTTGGGGGCTGCGGCCACATCACGAGGCAGATTGCTACTTAGAATACCTTTCGGATTCTTTTGCCATTGTCCCCACATCGATACATAGAGCAGGGTGACCACCGTAACCACCTCCCCGTCTTAGGGCCCACATTCGAGGGCTCGGGCCCTGAGGAGGCGCATTGGCCGCAAAGGAGGGCGAGGAGGCCAGTTGAGTCGACACAGCTGCAGGGGGGCTTGCGCTAGGTCCCCCAGCTAGGTGCCCTTTCTCTCCCCTTTTTCGGTTGGGAGGGTTCCCCTACTAGACTACAAAAAAAAGGGTACCCTTATTCTAACCTCTCTACTGGAGGACCTCGGTGAACGATGGCAGATTCCGCCATTTTGGTTTAGTCGTTTTTACGGACATGGAAAGGGAACTTTGCCATCCACTTTTACCCTTTTCAACTAGGCACAGACATTGGTGAATGGAAAGGGAATTGCGCCATCCATTTTTAGCCTGGTGTAAACTCAACAGTGACTCGGTGCCGCCTTACCGGGTGGTCAGTGGCACCAATTGTTTGGGTGGCTTCCGCGCTAAAATGGTGAAACCCAAAAAGACCTGGGACTCTTCGTTTTGCCCAAATAAATGAGGCTTAGCAGCTTTTGTTGGAAAGCTGCTTGCTCTGCCATAGGGTCCAAAGCATGCTGCCATCTACCACCAACAAACATGGCTAGTTGCACAAACCTATGCACTTGGCACGCACAAGTCAAGCAGCTGCGGGTCGCCCAAAGCAAGTCGCTGGGAAGTGACCCATGCTTTTAGCAGCGTACAATTACGCGCAGGTTGAGGATCCTTTCGCACCTGGGCAGCAGAGTCTCAGTCACCGCTTCTGGATTAGGATCAGAGGTGGGTTGCTGACGTGATACTATGCCGAGGTACTCCTGATGGGTCATAGGAGAATCTTGTGGACGACCCGCACTTTCTGGAAACGGAGAAAGGTGGAACTCGAGCAATCCAATTCTGCGAAGGTTTCGGTCATGTCGATCCCTTATGTTTCAGTTGGTGAAACACAATATGTTGCCCGGATACTGTGGATGGCTACAAAATCCACGCTCTGGCCTCAGTTGGGATGGATGAAACTCTTTCTGAATACTGGTTTGCAACTCAGGGAGGCCTCCCGCCCTCCCAACGAAGATATCCAGATGCCGACATTTGCACAGAAACAAGTGGCCGTGTTGGACAATTTGCATTTAAACCGCCGATGTGCAGACCCCTCTTGTGCTGACCGGGGCTATTTGTTTTATGAACCATGGGGGCTGGGGGGGGGAGGGGAAGGGGAGGGAGCCCTTATTCAGCCCTTAAGGCCCATGCCAGCGGCCCAGACACGTGAGCTCAGGCCACCTGGGCGCGGCTTCGGCCCAGCTTCTGCCTGGCACTGCAGCAGGCGCCGTGGGCCATGGATGGGGCAGACGCAAATGAGGCACAGGGATTTGAAGGTAGGGGAGGGCCATTCCCTCCTGACCCAAGTAATTACAAGCACAAGCAAGCAAGCAAACAACAACAACACAAGCAATCAAGCAAGCAGACAAATGAACAAAGAAACAACCAGACACAAAGAAGCAACCAAACAGACAGACAGACAGGCAGACAGACAGACAGACATACAGGCAGACAGACAGGCAGACAGACAGACATACATGCAGACAGACAGGCAGACACACACACACACACACACACACACACACACACACACACACACACACACACACACACACACACACACACACACACACACACACACACACACACACACACACACACACACACACACACACACTTGTGAAATCCCCCCTCTCTCGGTCCTTGTTGTGTCTCATTTCTTCTGCGAGGGTCAGGATCAAGCCCAGTGGGCACACATGCACTTTAATTGATTGGAGTGGAGTTTCGTCATCCTTGGGCCCTACTCGTCAGGGCCACAGACTAGACCCAAGGATGGCTGTGGCCTACTCCACATACTTGGAAAAGAAATGGAGAGTCCGGATAGCCGGCACCACCTCGACAATTTGCAAAGACTTCCAGCTTGCGAGTCTGACAAAGAACTCAGATCAGCCCTTGGCAACAGGGATGGACACACACAATCAGCCACGCGGCACTTCTTTCGCCATGGACATTGCAGCCTGCGCAGAACCCAAATCCCACCGCTGGGCCCCAGCCGGGTGTGTAAAACGCCCGCGGGCCAAACTAAAATGAACAAGACGTGAAAAGGCTCCAAACCCTGTGACCTGTACAGAGCCAGACGCGCCGCAGTCACCGCGGCTTGCAAAGAGAATCGTTGCAAAAGGGCCAAAGGGATCTTGCGCAAAGCGAGGAAAAAGAAAAAGAACAAGAAAACAACAAAAAGAACGAACAGATCCGAGATGCTCCACTAACGCCGGGGCCCCGGCCGGGTATTTGAATCACCCGCGGGCCAGAAAAACCGACGGTTTGTAAATGGCAAATTGCAACGACGGCCTAGACAGCAGCAAAAAATACATCGGGGGGATTTTGGCCTCTCAGGCCCAATGGGCATGCTGGTTTCTGAGGCGATAGACATCGCTGGCAGTCTCCGTTGTGCTTCACAGCACTAACCATGAAATGGCCAACTGAGTGGGAAGACTCCCAAAGCTTGGCGAAACAAAGGCAAGTTCCAAACAGACCTGGGGACCTCAAGGGTCAAAACTGACATCTGAGGGTCAACTGAATGACCAATGCTGCGAGCGAGCCGATGGCAAGGCTCAATCAAACACAGTAGGCTATCCTACCGCAGGCAGCCCGTTAAACGAACTACTGCCTGGATCACACTTGTGAAATCCCCCCTCTCTCGGTCCTTGTTGTGTCTCATTTCTTCTGCGAGGGTCAGGATCAAGCCCAGTGGGCACACATGCACAGTGGGCACACATGCACTTTAATTGTAGGTGGAGTGGAGTTTCGTCATCCTTGGGCCCTACTCGTCAGGGCCACAGACTAGACCCAAGGATGGCTGTGGCCTACTCCACATACTTGGAAAAGAAATGGAGAGTCCGGATAGCCGGCACCTCGACAATTTGCAAAGACTTCCAGCTTGCGAGTCTGACAAAGAACTCAGATCAGCCCTTGGCAACAGGGATGGACACACACACACACACACACACACACACACACACACACACACACACACACACACACACACACACACACACACACACACACACACACACACACACACACACACACACACACACACACACACACACACACACACACACACACACACACACACACACACACACACACACACACACACACACACACACACACACACACACACACACACACACACACACACACACACACACACACACACGCACACGCACACGCACACGCACACGCACACGCACACGCACACGCACACGCACACGCACACACACACACACGCACACGCACACGCACACGCACACGCACACGCACACGCACACGCACACGCACACGCACACGCACACGCACACGCACACGCACACGCACACGCACACGCACACGCACACACACACACACCCCCACACACACCCACACACCCACACACCCACACGCACACGCACACGCACACGCACACACACACGCACGCGCACACGCACACGCACACGCCACGCACACGCACACGCACACGCACGCGCACACGCGCACGCGCACGCGCACGCGCACGCGCACGCACACGCACGCGCACGCGCACGCACACACACACACACACGAATCAATCACACAAACAATCGAGCAACCACCCAACCAAGGAGACAAACCAAGTGATCAAGCAAGCAAGTAAATGAGCAAGCGAGCAAGCAAGCAAGCAAGCAAACAAGCACGACACAGCACACACACACACACGAATCAAACACACAAACAATCGAGCAACCATCCAACCAAGGAGACAAACCAAGTGATCAAGCAAGCAAGTAAATGAGCAAGCAAGCAAGCAAACAAGCACGACACAACACACACACACACAAATCAAACACACAAACAATCGAGCAACCATCCAACCAAGGAGACAAACCAAGTGATCAAGCAAGCAAGTAAATGAACAAGCAAGCAAGCAAGCAAGCAAACAAGCACGACACAACACACACACACACACACACCAACACACGCCAACACGCCAACACGAACACAACACAACACCACAAAAGAAGCCAATCGATTTCGTGCACCACACACCAATAATATGGTGGGAACATGCGGCAAACAGGTGAAGGTTTGGTTTCTTGCCGTTTCTCGGTTTGCCATGTTTTCCGCCATCTGCCAAACTACCCTCTAAATGCTGTTTTGGCTAGCTTCCTGAACAGGGCTCCTTAAAAGATACATTTTGCCTATTTGAAACATGGTTTTTTCCACCAAAATAAAGGGACACCACCTTTTACAAGGCAATGCTCAGGTTTCTGTTTTATGTAAGGATCCCTGAAGAACTCTCTGGAGAGCTGGCTTCTCGGGCGCTGTGTTTGCGTGACACCAGCTTCTACTTCCGCCCAGGCGGTGGACGCGCAAGCGCAGAAGCAGCGGGAGATGGCAAAGAACCACTCCAGGCATGTCCCGAAGCGACGCTTGAAGCTGTCAATCCCGAGCTGCTCATGCCTCGCAATTGCACGGCAACTATACGAGTTATAAGAGCGCACTGATCCGAAGGTAAAACAAGCTCGTTCATCAGGAAGACAGTTTACTGGCGCCTTTCCTTATTGCTCAGATGCCAACTGGTTGAAGCCGCGTATAGCTGAGTTTTGAGCTTAAAAATCGGGGAGCCGCCATAACGGGGTTCCTGCGCTTTGCTTGTGGAAGAGCCTGGCGAAGATGCTTTGCAACCAAGCAAAGGGGGATTATGAGGGCTTCCCTGTCCAGTGGACCACCTCTGTTGGGTTCCATTTCAATTTGCAGAGACTTTTTTGGTTGGGTCCTACAAGGCATCCTTGGTGTTTCTGCGACCGAGCGCCCGTGCAGGATCGAAGATCAAGCAGCTTGGTGGCACAGCTTAGCCATGAGGGCTTGCCAAGCTTGCTTGCTATTTAGGCGCGCATGCTTTGAAGCAACCGCCACGAAGGAGTTGCCGCAAGAACAAGCGCCACATTCATGTGTTTGTGTTTTTTTTGCCCTGTGCTTTTGCAAAATGAAGGGGCTCTACAATCAGTTGCTTACAGGAAGTCCTCTGTAAGTTTTGCTGTTGTTCAAGCAAGTCCTGCTTTTTGCGACCAGGGCCATCGGGCAAACTCTCCATACTGCCGATACTCGAGGAAGAACCCCTGAACCCTTTCGTGGTTTCATTGCTTTGCCTGATTTCCAATGCAATTCGGTGCAAAGATTGAAGACGACGTGTGTGTGTGTGTGTGTGCCCCTGCCTGTACCTGTATGTTTGTGCTTGTGTGGGCTTGCATGTTTGTTTGCTTCCTATCGTGACACATTCACCCGCCGGGGCAAGGATGGAGAGGACGGCGACGATCCGTCATGCGAGGACAGCGTTCAGAGTGCGCGTTGAAGCTTCGCAGGAAGCTACGAGCCAAATGAGCTATGTGCAATAGTTACTTTCAAAGATCCGCCAAGTATTTGCGTTTAATTCATGCAAGCTCCAAGTAATCGAGTGAACCTTAAGTGATCAGCTGAGTTGCTTGATGCAGTTAGTTCAGGCAGTTCAGGCCTGCGTTGCTCGCAGCCTCAATTTATGAACCTTTCCCTTCCCCTTGACAGCGGTGCGAGCACCTTTCGCGGACAATCGCCTTGTGAGCGCCATGAAGTGCCAGTTTGGATGACACGTTTGCACGCTCAGCCGCTGGTACTTCTCATGAACCTGCAGATGCATGGCTGACTGCCCTCCAGGTGTAACACCCCCATGAATCAACTAGGGGCCAACTATAGAATCCCAAGGTTTTGATTGAAGTGGGCGCTTGACCCGGCCAGGAGGAGGATCCCGGCAGCGAGGCCGAAGCCCCAGCGCGACCAATTCACAAGCCTGTTCATAGCAACTCTCGGCATTGACCCTGGACGCACACGAACACAAATTACCGCAAACGCCTTGGAAAAGGAATCGCCCCCCCCCACACACACAAATATCTGCAAAAACTCAAAGGAGGGGCAAACGCCCGCAAGAAAAGCAAACACACATGCAACACACCTAAAACTCATGGTTGTCAAGGGCCCCCCCAATACAATCCCAACAGGGGCTAAGACTGTAGCGACCAATATAGCGTCATTTGGGGCCAATAGGTTTCCATTTGGGGACCATTTCCAGGGCGCGCGTTTGGGGGCCCTGGACAGCCAGCGGGAAATGCCTTGAGAACCAGAACTAGGATTTCCTCGGCAATGGAATCTCCAGGGACGGGAACATCTCGAGGTCTTCGGCTAAGGGCAATGGCCATTTGTGGCCCTTGAGACGAAGACTTTTTTTGCGAAAAGACAGCACAAGCAAACGTTGTGAGCGAGCAGCTTCGGCCGAATGATGTGAGCAAGTTAAAGGAGAGGTGCAAGATCTTTCGCCTTTCACTTTGGATGAATCAGACTTTTCCAATCGGTCGGAAAAGCAGCGAACAAGCGAACGGCCAAGCACATGTTTGAGCCCCTGGTTCTTGCTTCAGAGCTTGCTCATTGACGCGATGAGGGAAAGGTTCTTTTCCACAAACAAGAGCAGGGCTATTTTTGCGAAAGTCGTGAAACTAGGTGTTTCGGATATGTGCCAGGCAGGCTGGTCTTGGATTCTGGTTCCTTGGCCGTTCTCCGCTGAGCAGTCTCCTGGCTTGCGGGCTTGCTCCTTGATTGGCCCGTGAGGACACAGATGCCAGCGACGAGGAAGGCAGGTTTTAGGGTGCGATTTTGTCAGGGCAGCTGGGCGGACTGTCAAGTGGTGATCAAGCGCGGTGGTTTGTTTTGGCCAAAGGGCACCAGATCCCCCAAGCAGCTGGACTGACTGCAGGGAGCAAATGCCAAAGGCCAAAAGGGATAGAATGGAAGCCCGAAAATGGGTTGGGTTCAGAAAGCAGGACCTCCTTTTGCGGGTGTGACCCTGTTCATTCGACCCCCAACCTGCATTTTGGGCCCTTCGCATCCACCAGCGACTCCGTCCCGCCAGACGACGCGCTGACGCGTCTGAAGCGTTTGGAGCTACGCCTCCAAAAGAGCCAGGGCCGTTTGCGGCAGGCGGCTCTTCGAGTGCGTGGGGATCGCGGTCGGTTTATGCCGAGGAATGAGAACTTGGGGAGTTTCAAAGGGTTTGGTTACAGGAAAATCCACAGGAAACGGCCAACATCAGCTGCTTCCCTGTAAATTTGCTGTAACCCAACCCCGTGAGTTGCTGACAATGGGAGTTGGACCCTCTGAAGTTTCAAGGGAACCGCGAAGCTTGGACATTTCGACGCCTGGGATTCATTCACGGCGGTCTTCCATATGCGAGGTTTGCTGCTGGGTCAACATGATCTAGTCTTTCCTTTGGAAGGCTGCAGAAATGGAACTGGGGGGATCCTCTCCCGCTTAAGATGGGGACTATGTGGAGGCGTTGCTTGTGGCCTGCCCTCAGGAGTAGGATTGCATTGGGGGGGCGCCCATCTAAAATGGAACGTGCCCTTATGGATCAGTCAGGGGTGTATGCCTGCGTACCCCCACTAGAATGTCAAGGCTTTCACGGGAATGGCCTTTGGTATCACGGGCAAAGGCTGGCTGTCCAGCAAGCTTTTGGAGGACAAAAGTTTCAATCCTTATGCCAGCTCTTTCAGTGATGTTCCAACTCCTGGGTTGGGGTCCCTCAACCCGAACCCAAGGTTGGGGTCTTACCCCAACCTGGGTCAGGGCGCCATTTTGAACACCAGTTGATGCTTTGGTGGGGGCGAAACCCTGGCCCTACCTCAGGCATTGCGCAAGGGAGTGTCTCGGCCATAGATTTCAGCCGGGGAGGGCTGGCTTTGCCTTTTGCCCAAAGCTGACCTTTTGAACTTTGGTTTTTTGCATTGGTCCATTTCAGTAACGATCCCGAACGGACCTGGTTTCGACTGTCTCTGCACCACTGGCGTTTCATGCGCGCACTGAGCTTCTTGAATGCGACAGACACGAGCAATGCACACACACACAACGGAACCAGCAAGCGTGAGGGGTTGCTTTGGCCCCGGAGACATCAAGGAACGGGACGCCGTAGAGATCTTGTGCTTCTTCGGGGAGATGACTGCGAAGCGGAGGAATGCGCTCTCAGCTCTGCAGGAGAGAGGGAACAGAGTGAGGAAGCGTAAAGAATGGACCCTGACAATGAACAAGCACATCTCATGAGGATGACCACATCATGTTTGCAGAAACGAGCGTCTTGTGCCTGATGAGTTGTCCGTTTTAAGCCAGCTGGCAGGCAGGCAGTGGCTTAGCACAAATGCCAGGATTAGGATATGTGTTTAGAAATTGAACGGAATGCCAGAAGCGACGGCTCGAACCCAGCAATCGCAGGAGTTCCTTGGCAATATCCGTGCCTTTGCCAAGCACTTTGCCTGCGCAGTCCGCGAGGCGATGCGGAGTGGAGGGATGTTGCACAATCGGCATGCCGTTCTTTGGCCTTGGTTGGATGCTTGCGTTGGAAGATTTGTTGTCGGTATTTTGGCGTTGGTTCACGGCGGACAAAGGTATATTAGATGTCCCTGTCCATCAAGGTTGCCCATTCAAAGCAAGGGAAGCATGGCATCTCAAAGGGAGAACACCAAGCACACTCAAAAGCACGGTCCATACTGTGGATGGCCAAAATTCTGCACCACCCCAGAAATTACAGAAGGATGAATCCCCTGTGCATACCAGCAAACAATGGTTTCCCGTGGTTTGCAAGTGGTGCGAAATGGATTCCGTCCATCCACAGTATGAGCATCGGACCATATTCCCAAGGTATCGGCCTGAAGCAGGCCACCGGTCTCTTGCAGCATCTCTGTCGCATTCTTCCAATATATTGGCATTTCTGCAAAACAGAGGACCCTGCTGCCCCACCCCCCCGACCAACAAAACAAATCGACACAAATAACAGGCAGTATTCCTTTTGGCTTCCCTTTAACTCAACCACCTGGAGTCTCCATGACCCTTTAAAATGGAATCATTATCCAAAATTAAGGGCTTATGAGCCCTTTTTCTAGGGGTTAAATCGGAGACTCTGGGCACCCTCCAAAAAAGCACCAGCTCCTGTGACTGGCGGGGAAGGTGCGGAAGCACCACGGCCCTGGGCGCCGGCCCCGCAGCGATTCCTTGGCGCGGCGCATCGGCGAGGCGGGAGGCTGCAGCCCATTGTGCCCATTTTTCCCACATGTTCCGGGCATGTCTAGCCCAATCGTTCAGTGGTTTAGCCCCATCCAGGTGTTTTTGCTTGGACATTTCGGGGAACCCATGTCTTGCACGAGTGTTGGTGTTTCTCAGGGGTCCCTATATGTCCCTTCTTTTTTTTTTTTTGGGGGGGGGGTTTAAGGATATCCCCTTTTTAAAGCCCATGAAAGGTGAGTGTTATTTTGTGGGGGTGATGTTTTAAGGGGAAATATGGGGAGCCCTGTTTCTGCTTGGACATTTCCGGTTTGTCAAGCCCAATTGTTCAGTGGTTTTAGCCCTTCTCCCTTTTTTTCTCGGTTGGTACTCCGAAAAGGTGCCCTTGCTGCCTTTTCGTTGCGGGGAAACTGCGCCAAAATCACACAACGAGGGCGCAGCGTTTTCCCCGTTCACATCATGGGGCTCCCGGGGCCGGGAAGCTGGAGGGTTGACTCCCCCGGTCCAAAGCGGCTGCGAGGCCGACGGCAGGCAGGATCCCGCGGGTGGTTCGGTGCTCGGTTCCGGCTGACGTGACTGGATCTGAATTTTGCGGCGCTGACTCTCCAAATTGGCAAAGCCAAGAAGCCTGGAGGATCTTTGGGGAATCTCTTTTGGGGACCCCTTTCTGGGTAGGTGAATCTGTGGGGAGGTAGATCTCCCATTGTCGGATGCGTCATATGATCTGTTCCCTGGAATCGGTTTCATTCGCCCTTGAACCTGCAAAAGGCTGGCTGTTAGTAGGTTTGCACAAGGGGCAAGGCCCACAGTTCAAAGACCGCGGTTGATCGCATTGCTCGGGAAACTTCTTTTCGGGCTTCCAGGCCATTTAAGTCAAACAGGTGCCGCAGGATGCTTTGACTTGCGTTCCACTTGCCAAAGCAAATTCGAGGCTTCCAATTGCGCAGCGCCAGGACAATCAGTTAGCAGTCAAAGCTTGGTTGTGCGTTTGTTTTGGCCATGGAGCATGCCACACATGTGGGTATGGGTCAAAATGTAATCACCAGGTGACCGCAGGTTTTAGTCTTTCGTTCCATCTACCAGGGTTCCATTTTGGGTACGCATTACCCATAGCCATGTGTTTGGCTGCATGCAGTTGGTGAGAATTGAGTTTTTAGCTGGAACAGATCTGAGGTAGGGAAGGCTTGCTGGTTCGGGAATCAGGACATGACCCCTGCAAGCCATCCCTATAGTGATTTCCGAGGCAGCAAGATGGAAACGTAGGTCGGAGGTAGGGCCAGAAAGGTCGATACCAAAAGTACAATATCCACATATATATGTTATTGCTCGGTACATAGAATATGTATATATATATCTTATACATGTATATATGTGTATCATACAATATGTGGTCCCCCCCAAAAGCAAAGATGATTCCCACTACCCCCCAAACTAAATATGGTGATGTTGTGTGTACCTCAGATGTGTGCCAAGATTTGGGGGGGGGGGGGGTAGTGGAACTTTGGAAATTCGTTGATTCCCTGCCTTGGTTGATTCAAGAGGAAGTCAACAGGTTTGAGCATCAATCCATCCCGCAAAGCCCGAAAGGAAGCTAAAAGGGGTGGTTCATTTGGGGTCATTTCCACCAAATTCCCACTATCTTTGCCTTCCTTGGTTTTCAATCATCACCCTGTGTTCCAATGCAAAGTGAGCTTCCTGGTGCTACTTCAACCCGCAAATGTAGATTTTCCTAAGTGTTTAAACATTTTCGGTGCCAATGCAAAGTGAGTTTCTTTGTGCTATGATGTTCAATCGGTAAATGTAGGGACCCACGTTTCCTGCTTTCCTGCCGATGGACAGTAGCAAGCAGAGAGCCTGCCAGCGGCCAGACCCGGGCGCAGCAGCAGCACCGGCGCCAGCCGTAGGGACCAGCCGCGCCGCGTCATGCGCACCAAGACACGCAGGGGGACCTGGGCCGTGCGGATATGGTGGCTCATAACACAAGGTTCAAACAAGAAGACATCCAAGGTTAACAAAAGTGTCAAGGTGTAAAAAAGGCTTTGAAAGGTATCAAAAAAACTTCCCCAAAGTTCAGGTTCCAAGCCGCATGTTTTGTGTTCCACAAACTGCGGGTTGGGGGTGGCCCAGTTCTTGAGCTGTCATAGGAGCCATCACCAAGACCCAGGTAGGTGAAGGTTAGCAGGGGGAGAGTCCAACCTGCGGCCGCGCGTTTAGAGCTGTACATTGGTTTGGGTAGATCTGATTGTAACTCGTACGAGATTTGCACAAGATATCTAGTACATCGTGCTCCAACTGGGGGAGGACCCTCTAGATTTGCCACAGCTAGGGGATGTGCAAGTGGGTGCGCGTTTTGTTGAGGGCACCTTTATCAGGGTGGTTTAGACTGGCACATCTGCCCGTTTGGAGGCATCAACCATGGCAGTTTCATGACCATTTGCGTGGGAACTGCATTGCTTTTTTGAAGATGTTTGGCGCGTGCAAGCGGACCAAAGAGAGAACCAAATCTTGTTTAAGCAATCAGGCCATGTAACCCATTTCGCAGAGAGGCATAAACCAGGTCACACTGCCACTAACGGCGCGAAGGAGTTCACAAGCCTGGCAATCGCCCAAGCAAACTTTCTGGACACGAAATAACTGGCATTGCTTCCTACAAGCACTCACGCGTGTTGTGCCGCCTTTGGTTTTTATGCGAGTATCGCCACAGCCCGCCCTTCTTCTTAGCATGACACAAGGTGGCAGCCACCTTTGCACGTCTTTCCAACCTTTCAAAGATCGCGAGGCAAGAGAACATTCTTGGCAAACTGCAGCGAACTATGGCTCACAGAACTGAAGTGTACGTCATAGTCTTGGAGCCTTCGGCGGACCAGTCGTAATTAGCAAGATTCGATGACACACGCTATGGAATATAAAAATCCAAATTCGGCCTGCGTGATACTGTGTCCAGGACAACACCTGTGACTAAACCACACAACAGCAGGCATCCAAGCAACTTGTGCCCCGTACGTTATTACCCCACCCCACCAAAGTCATCAAGGCGTCGGCCAGAACAGCGGGAAAGGCGGTGGGACGTGTTCGTACAAAAATGTGCGAAATGCTCTGCACCGTTAGTGGCGTGAGCATAAACAAGATGCTTTAACAATGTCTAATATGTGATCATGTTGGCCCACCCCTGGCAAGTCACGGTCAACGGACCTTTGTAGTAGGGATGGTTACCCACGGGTGCGGCATGTTGTGGCCAAGCACAGCACACTTCCGCAGACCGGATGGTGTATAGATCGCCAACAACAGCATGCCCTCTAAAGTGACATAAAGCAATTTTGGGCATTTATAAGGTGACATGCCGTCATCAGCAAGATTGTGGCCAACCTAGGCTTTCATGATATCACCCCTTTGAACATTGCCCAAGAGTCGACGTACTTGGGAAACAGTTTGAACCACATAGTCCTCTGAAGATAAGTTTTACAACATTTCACAGCACATTCAAGATAAGCACCGTAGCTGTACATGGAACAGATTGTCCCTGTTTTGGAAGGATCCCACCACAGGATCAGAAATGGCAGCTTCACAGGTAAAGTTGGCTGGGCACATTGCACGGGCGCCAAATTCAGACCCACTTAGACTCTCATATCAACGGGACAGCGTTGAACCTATCCATATTGGTAAACGCCAAAGTGGACGACCTAGACAACAATGGCTGTTTAGATCCAATGAGGCTAGCCACATTCGAATTGGCCACGCAGTTTCTGATGGTGACCCTTGTGAAGGCAGACACATTCTACACACAGCCCAAAGGATAGTACGAGACTAAGCCAAGCGCCGAAGCATCTTGCTTAGTCGCAGCCGTCGTGCAACTAGATGCCTGGCAGGCGCAAAACATACCACGCCCAACAGTGACCAATGCCCTGAGCCTTGCCCCTGCTTGTATTGGGCACAGCCGCCAGGATGTGAAAACCTCACGTGTTCCAGTGGGTCGTCGAGGCATCCCCACCCCCTTCAAAAGGACGGGGGTGACCCCTGGAATTCCATGTAGGGTTTCATTTTCCCTGGGGAAGACTGAAGAAATGATTTAGGGTTCCATTTTCCCTTTTGTGCAAAAAGACTGAAGAAATGGAATTGTGGGACCCCCCACCCCCCTCCTTCAGGTAGGGGGGATGTCGAGGCCCCTTGGAGCAGCATCCGGTGCTCCTCAACAACCAGGAGATCAAGGCGGAGCTTCTGGCGCCCATTGAGCCAGGCGAGGTCCCCGGGACCGGCGGGAAGCGGAGGATTTGGAGCTGTGCCCGGGGCAAATGAGGGCAAGTCCATTGCTCCTTAAGAAAATACTGCAGGGGGACATGGGGAAAGTGGAGTTGGGCAAGTCGTGACGACGCATGGGGTAAAATCAGCTTGGACGCCATGTTCTTTGACTCAAAGGAAACTGTACATGATCAGCCCAAGATGTTCATCAATGAAGCCAGGGACAAGCTTGTATGCCGAATATGCGATTCGTGGAAAGCGCACGTTGTGGCGTGCTGGAGCTTGTGAACGCATTGCTCAGGAAGCGACCCCTTCAAGCGCGCAAGCAGCTGCCTTAGTGTTCGTGGCCATTCCATGCGGGGGTGGAGGTCCTAAACAACACACAACGTTGAATGTCGCCTACAGGACACGTAAAGAGAAAATATGATTAGCTTTTTCAGAGCCCCTATTTGGCACCCAGTGACGCTGCCAGAGGGCAACCCAGAGAAATCCACGTTTGAACGGCAATGGACATGTTTCATAGAGGACATTATTTGGCATGATAGCCCGCTAGCACAAACATTTGGAGGCCACTTTACAGACGGTGCCTTTCCCGCCTGAGTCTTGTCACGCATGTTTTTGCCATTGACACCTTTTCCTTTGATTCCTTTGCTCAGGGCCCAAACATCACACCAGTGGCGCCATTCTTGGCAAGCCATTGAATTCCTGATCGCTAAGGCATGGTTTTTGTAGCATGGTCTTTGTAGTGTCGGGTTTGTTGTGAAACACGAGTCGTGCCACGCAGAGGTTTGTAAGTTGAGGTCTTCCACGCTAAACACAACTTCATGTTACGTGAGGTGAGAGATAAACATGGTTTGGGTTCCATGTTCATTTGGGAAGCTTGGCTGGATGAGCCCGGCGATGAAAGCGGAATGTAGCCGGTTCTGAAGTCCAAAGAGTTGCCAAGTTGCCAGTTGCATTCCCTGTGGAGTGCTGGCTGTGGCAGTGAGGGGTGCTCACTGTGGCTTGCTGAGGACAGGAGCCAGCAGCGGCTGTGTGACACGATGCCAGCTGCCGACTCCGAATTCGCATTCGGTCATGACGCAGGGGAGTTATCAAAGAACGTACCAGCACTCAACAGCTGCTAATTCGACGAGTGGTAGTGTTCCAGTTTCCTGCCTGGAACACTTTGGTCCGAGGCATTTGTTGTTCGAGGTATTTTGGAATTCTCCTGATTGGATGCTGCTGCCGAACGGCAGATGGAAACAGATCAGCTTTCCCAGCATCCTGGCACATAGATTTCTCGGGCTGGCACATGCCTTGCCCACGCGATAGATTTGACGAGAGCCGGGTTCCCGACATTTCCCCGAATAGTTTTAAACATCACCTTTAATTTTGGGCATTCTCGGAAAACGATGTATGTGCAAATAGATGCGTGTCAGGCTTTAGTGAGTTGCTTTTGGCGCTTTCGTGTTCAAAGGGGAAATGTAGGGAGCGCCGCAGAGCCGCGCTGGTTGGGCACGGATGCAAGAGCCGAATTCACGGGGTGACAAACGCCCCACCCGAGTTGAGCCGCTTGGCAAGCCGCGTTCGGATTTCGGGGCTACAACTGCACCAGCCGGCCGATGCACGCCTGATGGCCGAAGACACAGACAGAGCTCTGGACCAAACCGGGGAGATTCAACGAAAGGTTTCAAATCTGCGGCTCAACTCGGTCAGCAAATGTAGGTTGCAACCACGAAAATCGTGAGCAGCCTTGATGCGAGGGCAGCTTGTGCCGTGGCTAGGAAAATGGGCGGGAGGGGGCGGTGAAAGGGGTTTGTGGCCAGGGCTTCCTCAGGTTCAGTCGGCAGGCTCGCAACTAAGCAACTTGGGTAACTAGACCCTGAACAGGAAACCTAGAGGAGATCCAAGAAAACAGAGAGTCGTTGAACACTACGGTGACGTGCTGTGCAACAAGGGTTGACCTCACCCCCGGTTTCACACGTTCAGGATGGCAGCGGCCCTTGGTTCCCCGATTTGTCAGGAGTATATTCTTTCCATCAAGCCAAGACCAAGGGCTGGCTCGGTAAGGATGGCTGCCCGAGGGGAAAAGCGGCCCCTGGTTATGGGGTGGTTCCCCCTGAGCGCCATGCAAGCTCCGTGTCGTTCTCGCCAGCTACGTGTTCATTGCCAGCAGCGTGGTATGACGAGCTGCCCTGTAGGGCTCCTTGCTTATTGGTACCGGGAGTTTGTTGACCTCCTGATCTTCGTGGGAGCTTAGGTCTTCCTGTTGCCAGTTCCTTACCAAGACTCGCCAAGTCATGGGAATCTTGAGTTGGGAAGTTGGGATCGGAGCTTGTGCCTAGAATTCGCGGGGGCATTGCGTAAGCTGAGAATTGAGTTCTTATTTGACTGTAGTCACAGCGTTCCATCGACCGCCTTGGCATTCCTGTCATTCCCCGATGACATGCGTTTGGCCAAGGCCAAGGCCGTAGGCTTGCTTGGACAGATGGCAGACAGGAGCCAGCAAAGGAAGATGCCGAAGAGAAGCCAGCCGAAGAGGCATGACAGTTTCAAGCCACAAGTGTCCTAGGTCACTTGGGGTGGTAAACATTGACGGCGCTGGTTTCGGTTTGAGTCTGAGCCTGTACAGCGCCATTCTAGTTTGTTTTTGCTAATTTTCTGAAGGACACCAACGTAGTACCGGTCCTAAAGCCCAGCCGAGGAACTCCCCGCATGCGCAGCCTCTTGCACAGCCACTGTGTCATGATCCGGCTTTTGATGACTCTGCAGCTACTAAAACAGCAGTGCAGACATCCTGACATGTTGGAGGGGCTTGCCCAAGAAGCTAGAAGGCTGCACTCCTTTTGCAAGCAACATGTCAAACTCAAAGTTGACCCAGTATCAATAAACCCGTCCCATCATTTCAAAAGTGGTCCCTCCAAAAGTGGTCTGAATCTGAATCCCCACTAAAAGGCCCCCCCAAAACAACAACCAGGGGTTGAGCAGCCGGCTGGCAAGGAGAACGCGCCAGCGCAAGAAGAGCCGCAAGCCGCTCGGCCCAGAATTGGTGCACAGTGAATGAGGAGTCGTTGATGTCATGTCGGTATATTGCCAAGCATTGGAATGATCAAAGCAGAAGGTGTCATGGCCATGTAAAAATTAAAGGGTTTGCCCACTGGCATGGCGCAGTGCTCAGCTGGGAAATATGACGCCCCTTGTTTTCAGAGGAGTTCGCACGAAAGGACTGCCCTACTCATTCCTACCATGATGGGTCAAATTCAGGATGCGTATCTCGTGCGACTTGCTTTTACGGTTTAGTGTGCCATCCAGGTTGCGAGTGCCCTGAAATGGAGGCCGTGTTTGAATTTGCTGGTTGGCCGCAATTCCCTTCAAGCTTCGGGATCCAAGCGGCAGGATGGTCATAGCTGCGAGACCATTCCCTGGAGACAAAAACAATTTGTTGGAAGCTCTGCGGGCGAAAGTGTATCAGACTCTGGGTGAGCATGGCCAGTGGGGTGCCCTTTAGCCATCGGAGCGATGAGTTGCTGACTTGGTAGAGGTACTATGGATGGACGAAATCCTGCACCACTTTGAAACCATGGGAAACCATTGTTTGCTGGTATTTGCAGGGGAAACATCATTCCAGGATGTCTTAGGTGGTGCAGGATTTCGTCTATCCACCGTATGGATGGACGAAATCCATTTCGCACCACTTAAGAAATCCTGGTTTCTGATGATTCCCCTGACACAAACAAACAGATGGTGTCCCATGTTTCAGCATTCGAAGTGGTGCAGATATTTGTTCCATCCACAGTATTGTCGCGGGGGACAACCAGGTGCATTGTATTCTGGGGAGCCAGCAGCAAAAAAGAGCCAGCAGCAAAAACACAACTCGGTGTTGCTCCGTGGTTTGGCCTTGCTACCTGCAACTCCTGCGGCATTTGTGTTTTTGCTATATTGCATTCAAGGCGAATTCACTAGCAGTGAAAAACCAGCAAACGTTGTGAAACATCATGGTTTCCCTTACAACACGGCAAACCACGCCTTGATTTTTGCAACAGTTGAAAGACAAATCCAGAAGTATGACAAGTTCTTGGCTTCTTGTGCCAGGGTGCACTGGAAGAGGAGGCTGGGCAGCGCGTCACCGTGAAATAGGATTTTCAAATATCAGACGTTCGGGTTATTTGACTACTCCCGTATGGTTGCCTGGCTTCCGTTGTTTGGCCGTTTGTTGGAGTTCCGAGCACCAGGGGAATCAATCAGTTGATCAATTTGGAATCTCAGCACGTCAACAAGTTGCTAGCGGTATCAGGTCACTCATAACATCATGATGACCCCGCATTCGGTGCCAATACATGCAGACCAGGTGTTTTCCGACATACTGGCATCATGTTGCTGAGTTCTGCCAGCAAGCAAGCCCCATTCGGGACTGAATACTGGACAGCACTGGGGCTGTTGTTGAGACTCAAAGGGGGCGGGGCACATTTTATTGTTGGCAGGTCTCATTGCACAGGCGCAGCACATTGCAGACTCAGAGCCCGATGAGAATTGGAAATCAAGAACGGCAGGCGTGAAGTTGCGATACGAGCCCCAGCTTTCCCACTTGAAGAAAACATTTTGACGCCACCTCGGGGGTGGGTGGTGGGGCAAACCGACACACCCATCAAGCAATCCCTCGTCGCTTTAGATTGATGGCGTGGATTCCAGAAAGCTCTTTTCTTGGTGCAGCATTGCAGGATGAAATGGCGGCTTTTCTGGAAGACATCCAGGACTTTGACAAGGCGTCTGCCTTACATGTGCTACGTCGACATCAGTTCGCCTAGGGTTGATAGGCCCGCTTTGGTCATTGATCGCCAAAACTTTGGTGCATTTTTCTTGGCTGTTAGGACTTTAACTTTTTGCCAACTAGTGGGTTTTCCACTAAACCACTAAAAGTCAAACTTTTAGCCTTCCATTCAGCTACGGGATTTGCATCGGCGAATCGGGTGCGTGCGCGGACATTGAAGACAAACCGTTTGGCGCTGCTCAGATGCATGTGGAGGTTGTGGTCCAAAAATAGAGGCCCGTTTTTAAAATCTGCCATGCCCCTCCATGACCCCTTCAAAATGGGGTCATTACCCAAAATTGTGGGGTCATTACCCAATTTTAAAAGGGTCACGGAGACTCCAGGTACATACTCGCATAGGGCCCAGGGCCTCCTTTCCTTTCCGCTTCGCAGTCGCTGGCGAAGCACCATGCACACCTTAGGCCAAACCCGACACGAAGGAGAGCAAGCCCGAGGCGCGTGGCGCATTTTGGGGCCCTTTGCATTGCAGCCAAAAGGTAAAACAATTGCTATGTGGCGGTGGCTCAAAACCAACGGTACCATTTTGGGGTAGGTGCACCCCGTTTTAGTCTAGTTTAGTCGGGATTGGGATGTTCACTGGGGGTACGGGATTTTGACCCATGGCCATGTTTTCGTGTTGCCTACGAATATTATGTTGTTTGTAGAGTTCTAGATTTGCCTAGCAGTCTCAGCAGGACATAGTGCCCCGATACATGCTTTCATCAAGCTGTTTCGTTTCAGTTGCACATGACCCTTGAACTGAGCAATTGCAGGCATTGGCATGTTCCGAAAAGCCAGCGCTCAAATTCCTTTTCGACAGAGTACCCTGAGGCCCTAAGTGCATCGGCCCTGCGCAAAAAACAAAATGCAGTGACCTTTTGCGCCGAGGCAGAGAAGTGCGAGGAGGCTGAGTCCACCAAGGCAGTTGCAGTAGAGGCCCAAGAAGCAGTGGAGGCACCCAAAGAGGCAGAGCCAAAGGAGAAAGAGGCGGAGAAAGAGGCGGAGAAAGAGGCGGAGAAAGAGGCGGAGAAAGAGGCGGAGAAAGAGGCGGAAGCTGCGAAGGAGACAGAGGCGTGCGGGGCAAGAGTGCCTTGTTGGGAGGTGGGACCGTTATCTGTTTGAGGTTGGTGCAAAGGGAAAACTAAGGACATCAGCCTGTTGGATTTCCAAAAATGCTTATTAGGAAGGTAAATCCCGCTTTCCCTTAAATGTAGATGTAGCCCCAAACCGCGAAATTGGCAGTTAGCTGGTCGGAAGTTGGTCGGAAATGTTCGGAAGGTGGTCGGAAGTTGGTCGGAGGTGGTGGGAAGGGTGG